GCTTGCCTATGGAGCAGTGAGGGGAACGGCACCTCTGTACCTTCAGGCTCTGATCAGTCCCTACACCCAAACGAGGGCATTGCGTTCATCCACCTCTGGCCTGCTGGCTCCCCTTCCTCTGCGGAAGCATAGCTCCCGCTCAGTCCAGTCAAAACTGTTCGCTGCTCTGGCACCCCAATGGTGGAACAAGCTCCCTCACGACGCCAGGACAGCGGAGTCACTCACCACCTTCCGGAGACATTTGAAACCCCACCTCTTTAAGGAATACCTGGGATAGGATAAAGTATTCCTTCTTCCCCCCCCCCCGCAAATTGTAAAGTGGTTATCCCACTGGCTATAGGGTGAACGCACCAATTTGTGAGTTGCTCTGGCTAAGAGCGTCTGCTAAATGACGTTAATGTGCCCTTGAGCAAGGCACTTAACCCTAATTGCTCCTGTAAGTCGCTCTGGATAAGAGCGTCTGCTAAATGACTAAAATGTAAATGTAAATGTAGCCATGCTGGTTAAGTGTGCCTTGAATTCTAAATAACTCACAGACAGTATCACCAGCAAAGCATCCCCACACCACAACACCTCCTCCTCCATGCGTTATGATGGGAAATACCCATGCGAATATCACCCGTTCACCCACACCGCGTCTCACAAAGACACGGTGGTTGGAACCAAAAATCTCCAGTTTGGACTCCAGACCAAAGGATACATTTCCACCGGTTTAATGTCCATTCCACGTGTTTCTCCATAATGCTGTCTATTAATCTGAGAGTGGTTACATTTCTCCAGGCCCATCCCTCAGCTTTTTACCAAAACAGAGGCGGGGTGTCCACTTTGTTATTGTTTCAACTGTGGATTCACCCTTAAAACAGCTGCAAATTATTAAGTGTCACCAACAAAAACATAAACAATAGGGCTATAGCAAATGCAGCATATGGCATTCATTTCTGTGATAAGAGAAAACTGAAGATGGATCAACAACATTGTAGTTACTCCACAGAGTGAAAAGAAGGAAGCCTGTACAGAATACAAATATTCCAAAACATGCATCCTGTTTGCAACAAGGCACTAAAGTAAAAAAGCAAGAAATGTGGCAAAGAAATTAACTTTATGTCCTGAAACAAAGCGTTATGTTTGGGCAAATCCAACACAACACATCACTGAGTACCACTCTTCATATTTTCAAGCATGGTGGTGGCTGCATCATGTTATGGGTATGCTTGTCATCGACAAGGACTAGAGAGTTTTTGGGGGGATAAAAAGACAACCTAAACCTAAAACATAGGCCAAATATACACTGGAGTTGCTTTCCAAGACAACATTGAATGTTCCTGAGTGGCCTAATTACAGTTTTGACTTAAATCGGCTTGAAAATCTATGGCAATCAGTTGAAAATAGCTGTCTAGCAATGATCAACAACCAACTTGACAGAACTTAAAGAATACAAAATAAAATAATGTGCAAATATTGTACAATCCAGGTGTGCAACGCTCTTAGAGAATTACCCAGATGCTGCCTTTTACATGCACTGAAACACCAAAAAGGGTTTTCACAACACTCTCTTTAAAACACCAATATTCTGATAACTGCAGTTGGGCTATATTGGTAGTCTTAAACAAACCTACAAAAGTATACACCTCACACACATGGATATGGGCTTAGAAAAAAAAAGACACCTGTACCATGTCAGATATAGAGTTGAAATGTATTCAATTATGAGTTTACATCCCAATATTACACTTTATAATATTAATCTATAATCTTAGAAAACTAAAATACACTACATGACCAAAAGTATGTGGACACCTGCTCGTCGAATATCTCATTCCGAAATCATGGTCATTAATATGGAGTTGGTCCCCCCTTTGCTGCTATAACAGCCTCTACTCTTCTGGGAAGGCTTTCCACTAGATGTTGGAACATTGCTGCAGTGACTTGCTTCCATTCAGCCACAAGATAATTAGTGAGGTCGGGCACTGATGTTGGGCGATTAGGCCTGGCTCGCAGTCGGTGTTCCAATTCATCCCAAAGGTGTTCGATGGGGTTGAGGTCAGGGCTGTGTACAGACCAGTCGAGGTCTTCCACACCAATCTCGACAAACCATTTCTGTATGGACTTCACTTTGTGCACAGGGGCATTGTCATGCTGAAACAGGAAAGGTCCTTTCCCAAAATGTTGCCACAAAGTTGGAAGCACAGGATTGTCTAGAATGTATAGTTAAGATTTCCCTTCACTGGAACTAAGGGGCCTAGCTAGAACCATGAAAAACAGCCCCAGACCATTATTCCTCCTCCACCAAACTTTACAGTTGGTGTCACGCCCTGGCCTTGAGAGCCCGGTTTTCTTTAGTTGGTTTGGTCAGGGTGTGAATTTCTATGTGTAGATCTAGATATTGTAGATCTATGTTGGCCGGGTGTGGTTCCCAATCAGAGGCAGCTGTCGATCGTTGTCTCTGATTGGGGATCATACTTAGGCAGCCATGTTCCCTACCTTTAGTTGTGGGATCCTGTTTCTGTGTGTTTGATGTTAGCCTTTAGAACTTCACGTTACGTTGCTTTTGTTGTTTTGTTTGGTCTTTATTCAATAAACGAACATGTACGCATACCACGCTGCACCTTGGTCCAATCCTGTACTCAACGAGCGTGACAGTTGGCACTATGCATTCGGGCAGGTAGCGTTCTCCTGACATCCACCAAACCCAGATTCATCCGTCGGACTGCCAGATGGTGAAGCGTGATTCATCACTCCAGAGAACCAATTTCCACTGCTCCAGAGTCCAATGGCGGTGAGCTTTACACCACTCCAGCTGACGTTTGGCATTGCGTATGGTGATCTTAGGCTTGTGTGCGGCTGCTTGGCTATGGAAACCCATTTCATGAAGCTCCCGACGAACAGTTATTGTGCTGATGGTTGCTTCCAGAGGCAGGTTGGAACTCGGTAGTGAGTGTTGCAACCGAGGACAGACGTTTTTTACGCGCTACGCGCTTTAGCACTATGCGGTTCCGTTCTCTGAGCTTGTGTGGCCTTCCACTTCGCGGCTGAGCCGTTGTTGCTCATAGACGTTTCCGCTTCACAATAACAGCATTTACAGTTGACCGGGGCAGCTCTAGCAGGGCAGAAACTGACTTGTTGGAAAGGTGGCATCCTATGACAGTGTCACGTTGAAAGTCACTGAGCTCTTCAGTAAGGCCATTCTACTGCCAATGTTTGTCAATGAAGATTGCATGGCTGTGTGCTCGATTTTATACACCTGTCAGCAACGGGTGTGGCTGAAATAGCCAAATCCACCAATTTGAAGGGGTGTCCCCATACTTTTGTATATATAGTGTATAACAAAACCGTTTGACATAGAAACACCAGATTCTTGGCGGGTTTTTGAAATAATGTTCATTCATTATGAAAAATATTAATAACATTCCACCCATGAGGCTACGAGGTCATTTGACTGCAGGAAGGGCTATAGAACCACTTTGGGTGTCTCAGAGTACATCCATTCTGTTTTGAAATACATTCAGTGTATCATAACACTTACATTGGGTTTACATTCAAACACCCTCCAAACACTAGATATCAGCTTATGTGTACTACTTTTCGTGGTTTCACTACACAATGATGGTGTCCTGGTATGCTGGGAGAGAGAGGTTTGCCCTAATTAAACGTAAGCAGTGGTGGGCTTTCACGCAGATTCAAGGACTTGAATTGTTTTCCCATCACATCAATTGTTATGCTCTTTAGTGTACAACTAATTGATTAATTGCACCATAATTGTCAGGTTACATTGTAAAACCAGAAAGAAGATCTTCTGTGTTTCTACGTCCCTAGTGTCCCTTTGCTGTTCTAGAGAATAGATGAGGGTCAGAAGGTCAAATGGCCCCCTCTGCTGCCCTCTGACCCCAGAGTGAGTAGAGGTCAAAGGCCTAGTTTGGTCTTACCTGTGAGCACTGCAGCAGGCAGGAGAGTGATCACAGTGTGTGAAGTCTACCACAGTGGGAACTTTACATTTGTACCATTGCCTGATACCTGGTATAGATCACAGATTATGACTGCTGATATTTGCTGGGAGAACAGCCCTAAGATTATATTTTGTCCTACCTAGTAGTAGTATACTATTAGTTAACTTTATTTGATCAAACAGAAGGACCGTTTTAATCACTACTTTTTCTTGTAAAAAAAAAAATGGCTTAAAACAATTTGTAATTTCAGATATTACTGAAAGGCTTTAGAAATGCTTGTAAGCTCATTTGTCATGCATCTCAGTATATTCAGCAGAGGGAAGTCCGAAATATTTCGGGAAGTTATTCAGTCTTACAAACAAAAGATGGTGCAGCTTCCCCACTAAAACAGACATGGGCCTGGTTTCCCACATTCAATGTTTTCCCCCCTACAATGCATTGTTACTATGTGCAACATTGACCTAGTGTTTTGTATAACACCAGGGAATCCCACCAGTGTATATTATCTATTCATATAGTCTATACTTCCTCCCTCATTCAAGGGCTATGTGTCTCACATGAAGGTTGACGGCCTCCTGTGTTTGACCCAATTCTGTGCCTATGTAACCTCTACATGCCAACCATGACCAACTAGAGGTTTATAATGTTTGACCACACTCTAGATACCTTAACTTTGACAGACTTTGCTACTGTCATCTCAGTCTGTTTTTCCAGTGCCTGTGCAGCTGTTTTTGCACCTGCTAAGTTTGCAGTGTGTTAGTGCCGTACTTAGCAGCACTCCGAACAAGATAGATGGACCACAGTGACCAAGGCTTCTGGCATTCAAAAGGAGCAGTGGTGTGCTTTCAGAGAATTGTGTCGCCTTCATGTAACCAGAGCTACTTTGTTGTCTTAACCACACGTTTCCATGTAGCCTACCTGTCTAAAAATGTATATATACCGTACCAGTCAAAGAAAAATACTTGAGGCTTTTACAGGAAATCAACACACTCATGCACATACACATCACTCAGTTAATATTTTCTGTTTGGAAGAGTATGTGTGTTTATTAATCATTTAGTTGACTGATTTAAGTCCAGTGACTTTCTTGATCCAGGGGAGATAGGTTGATATGTTGGTGTAGACATTGGGTGCTCTCGACTGGTTGCAGTAGTCTGCATCGTTGAAGGACACAACTCCCACTGCTGTCCCTCCACACACCAGAGGACCACCTGAATCTCCCTGAAATGAATGGTTGAAACAAAGACGTGAAGAAACAGTTACTCTACATTTGAAAAACAAGTATTTTATATATATATATATATATACACTACATGGCCAAAGGTGAGTGGACACCTCATTCCGATATCATGGGCATTAATATGGAGTTGGTCCCCCCTTTGCTGCTACAACAGCCTCCACTCTTCTGGGAACGTTTTCCACTAGATGTTGGAACATTGCTGTTTGTGGTCCTCTAGCTCAGCTGGTAGAGCACGGCGCTTGTAACGCCAAGGTAGTGGGTTCGATCCCACTAAACACAAAAAAAATTATGCACGCATGACTGTAAGTCGCTTTGGATAAAAGCGTCTGCTAAATGGCATATTATTAATATTATTATTGCTGCCGGGACTTGCTTCCATTCAGCCACGAGCATTAGTGAGGTCCGGCACTGATGTTGGGCGATTAAACCTGGCTCGCAGTCGGCGTTCCAATACATCCCAAAGTTGTTCGATTGGGTTGAGGACAGGGCTCTTGATTTTATACACCTGTCAGCAACGGGTGTGGCTGAAATAGTCAAATCCACTAATTTGAAGGGGTGTCCACATATTTTGGTCATGTAGTGTATATATGCATACACTGAGTGTACAAAACATTAAGAACACCTTCCATGACATAGACTGACCAGGTGAATCCAGGTGAAAGCTATGATCCCTTATTGATGTCACCTGTTAAATCCACTTCAATCAGGGGAGAAGACAGGTTAAAGAAGGATTTTTAAGCCTTGAGACAATTGAGACATGGATTGTGTATGTGTGCCATTCAGAGGGTGAATGGGCAAGACAAAAGATTTAAGTGCCTTTGAAAGAGATATGGTAGTAGGTGCCAGGCGCACCAATTTGAGTGTGTCAAGAACTGCAACGCTGCTGGGTTTTTCACGCTCAACAGTTTCCCATGTGCATCAACAATGGTCCACTACCCAAAGGATATCCAGCCAACTTGACACAACTGTGGGACGCATTGGCGTCAACATGGCCCAGCATCCCTGTGGAATGCTTTCAACACCTTGTAGAGTCCATGCCCCGACGAATTGAGGCTGTTTTGAGGGCAGAAGGTGTTCCTAATGTTTTGAACACTCAGTGTATATATTTATATCATATAATATACCTGTATATTACTTTTATTAATAATTTCAGAATTAACTATACTTTATAACCGTACCTGACAAATGCCTTTCTCATCAGCAGTACCACCGGCACATATCATAGAAGTGGGTATGGCTCTTCCCCAAGTTCTCTGGCAGTCACCTCTGTCTACAACAGTGACATTCACATCCAATAGGTCTGCGCTTGCAAAGCCATTTGTTTCAGTGGCTCCCCATCCTGCCACATTACAGATGGACCCAGCCTTGATGTGCAGGTCCTTCTTAGGGACCGGGATCGGCTTCACAGAACTCCGCCTTGGGGTGGGTGTCTTGAGCTGCATTTAGAGTACAGGATTGCAGTTAGAGTCCCATGTGTTGTGTGTCAGGTCGGGTACTGTGACAGAAAGAAATAAAGAATATCCCTGCAAATGGACCAATAAAGCAAGTACTGTAGATTCCCAAATGAACTATAAATTAAATGGGTTAAGTATTTGTATGCTACACAATTCCCTTCTGGGAAGGTAATCATACAACATCATATACATCACACCTGATTTAAATAGGTTTTATAACAAACTCTAGTTACCCCCTACACACACTTCATTACTTCCCCTCTCATTTACCTCCAACAGCATGATGTCATTCTTGTCCGTTTTGGCATCGTAACCATTGATGTAATAACTTTTCACACCAATCCTGTGAGCTGAATGTTCCCACGTTTTAATGTTATGAACACCAACCACAACCGTCAGCTGCACACCACTACGAGGACAAAGTAACAATTACTGAATGGCAATAGTTCACTGAAAATATAGATTGTGATTTTCCACTAACTTGGAGGATATCACTGGAGCTATTGTACTTCCTTTCCTCTATAAGCTTTGACTTACTTCCATATAGCACACCCCTATGAAGAGGAAACAACACACTACTCACTGAGCATCTAAGCACACAGAACATTCTACAGCAAGGGAGTCCAATCTGGCACGTGGAGTGGTTAGTGTAAAAATATTTATAGAAAATACAATAATATGAATAATGCTTTTTTTTTAATGGGGGGGGAACAAACTTTAAAATGACTAAAACCTAATTTAATTTAATAATCACCCAAATTAAAGCTAGACAGTCAGGGAGTATCGGAAACTGTGTTTTGCAATTTTTTGCACATTTTGACGGCGAAGGAAATATAACACATTTACTGTGCGGACCTCCGGACCTCATTGTAGACTGAATGTGGCCCCGGGGCAAAATTTGTCTGACACCCCTGTTATAAAGCAAATCTGCACGTATGACTTCTTGGTGTGAGTAGTTAAAGTTGTAGAATTCATTTTCTCACTCAAAGTTCAATAGGATAAGAGTAAAACACAATTACCATGTGTAGCAGTGAGCGGCCGTCATGACAAAATTATCTGACACAAGGAACCCTCCACAGATATGTTCCTCCTTTCCCGTTTCCTTGTTCCTCTCCTGCACAGAGACCATGTAGTGTTTAGAGTTGCTTTTGGTCTTTTCTCCATTCACAATGCCAGAGTCCTGGTGGGCTGGTAGAGACAGAGAGATACCCCCAATGAAACCCAAATAAACAACAGTGGTCTTTAATCTACTAGAATTCAAAGACTATAATTTGTGATCATCTTGTGAGTTGTTATGCTCTTGCCATACAACCAAATCAGTGTCACTTTGCAGTTTTCTGCAGTCCATGATTAGAGGGTCAAATGTCATCCTCTGGTAACTGCCAGAGTGAGTGGAAGTGTGAGTGGACATGTGATAGGTTGAAGTGATAGGTAAAGTTTGGTCTTACCTGTGAGCCCTTGAGTGGGCAGGAGAGTGAACAGCAGGAGCAGAAGAGATGTGGCAGCCATATTGTCAGAGTGTGTCTTCTTCTCAGACTGTCCTCAAAAGTCCTGAGCATCTTTATAAACCCCTCCCAGCACATGTACCCACACAGGGTTCTAGCTATGAATGTGTGAACCATGCATATCATTCATTCACACACCACATTCACACCGCATATAGGTCACCACATTGTGGTTAATCACATTTTACTAGAATAGTAGGACACTGACAAGCAGACGTGGTGGTCTTACATTGGTAAACCCACACTCTGTTTTTCCCAATCTGTGAGAAATAGGCCTAAAGGGGCAATCTGCTGTTGCTACATCAATTTTTGGACTCATAAATGAATGATATGTACCAATTGATTCTTGAATAATATAACTTATAATTGCATCATGAGCTGAGCTCAACTGTCAAACCCCCCCCCCCATCAGAACCCAAAATATTAGATTGTTTTCCCCCAATGTTTTTAAACAAAGTAAATGTAAATAAACACTGTATAGCCTCAAAACATGGTTAAAACTATAATTTTGATATCATGGATGCTCCATAGCCCTGTCTATGAATTTGAGAGTGGTTACATTTCTCCAGCTCCATCGCTCAGCTTTTTACCAAAACGGGGGCGCTTTGTTATTGTTTCAACTGCTGATTGCTGCTTTAAGAGATTAATCCTTCCATTCCAAGTCCTAGTGATATGCACAGAGCTCAAGTTAGGATTCAGCTCTTATAGATTTAAACCTTTAAGAGTAAATCAAGTACTGCAGTATCTCCAGTGGAGGGGGAAAGAGAGTCAGAACTATACGAGCTGCCACAGAAACGAGCCCAAATAAATGCTTCACAGAGTTCAAGTAACAGACCCATCTTAACATCAACTGTTCAGAGGAGACTGTGTGAATCCGGCCTTCATGGTCGAATTGCTGCAAATAAATCACTACTAAAGGACACCAATAAGAAGAAGAGACTTGCTTGGGCCAAGAAACACGAGCAATGGACATTAGACCGATGGAAATGTGTCCTTTGGTCTGGAGTCCAAATGTTAGATTTTTTTGTTCCAACCGCTGTGTCTTTGTGAGATGCGTTGTGGGTGAACGGATGATCTCCGCATGTGTATTTCCCACGTTAAAACATGGAGGAGGAGGTGTTGTGGTGTGGGGGTGCTTTGCTGGTGACACTGTCTGTGATTTATTTAGAATTCAAGGCACACTTAACCAGCATGGCTACCACAGCATTCTGCAGCGATATGCCATCCCATCTGGTTTTGGCTTAGTGGGACTATCATTTGTTTTTCAACAGGACAATGACCCAACCCTCCAGGCTGTGTAAGGGCTATTTGACCAAGAAGGAGTGATGGAGTGCTGCATCAGATGACCTGGCCTCCACAATCCCCCGACCTCAACCAAATTGAGATGGTTTGGGATGAGTCGGACCGCAGAGTGAAGGAAAAGCAGCCAACAAGTGCTCAGCATATGTGGGAACTCCTTCAAGACTGTTGGAAAAGCATTCCAGGTGAAGCTGGTTGAGAGAATGCCAAGAGTGTGCAAAGCTGTCATCAAGGCAAAAGGTGACTAATTGAAGAATCTAAAATATAAAACAGTTTTTTTGGTTACTACATGATTCCATATGTGTTGTTTCGTAGTTTTGATGTCTTCACTATTATTCTACAATTTTAGAAAATAGTAAAAATTAAGAAAAACCCTTGAATGAGTAGGTGTTCTAAAACGAGCAATGTCAGAATGTCCAGAATATCAATGGTGTGTATAACAGTATGGACAGTACATTAATAGAAAAGCTGTGTACAGCAGTAGTTACAGTGCATTCGGAAAGTACTCAGACCCCTTCCTTTTTTCCACATTTTGTTACATTACAGCCTTATTGTAAAATGGATTAAAAATAAATCCTCATCAATCTACACACAATATCCCATAATGACAAAGTAAAAACAGAAATACATTATTTACATAAGTATTCAGACCCTTTGCTATGAGACTCGAAATTGAGCTCAAGTGCATCCTGTTCCCATTGATCATCCTTGAGATGTTTCTACAACTTGATTGGAGTCTACCTGTGGTAAATGCAATTGATTAGACATGATTTGGAAAGGCACACGCCTGTCTTTGTAAGGTCCCACAGTTGACAGTGCATGTCAGAGCAAAAACAAGCCATGAGGTCGTAGGAATTGTCCGTAGAGCTCTGAGACAGGATTGTGTCGAGGCACAGATCTGGGGAAGGGTACCAAAACATTTCTGCAGCATCGAAGGTCCCCAAGAACACCGTGGCCTCCATCATTCCTAAATGGAAAAAGTTTGGAACCACCAAGACTCTTCCTAGAGCTGACCGCCCGGCCAAACTGAGCAATCGGGGAAGAAGGGCCTTGGTCAGGGAGGAGGCCAAGAACCCGATGGTCACCCTGACAGAGCTCCAGAGCTCCTCTGTGGAGATGGGAGAAACTTCCAGAAGGACATCCAACTCTGCAGCACTCCACCAATCAGGCCTTTATGGTAGAGTGGCCAGACGGAAGCCACTCCTCAGTAAAAGGCACATGACAGTCTGCTTGGAGTTTGCCAAAAGGCACGTAAAGGACTCTCAGACCATGGGACAGAACATTCTCTGGTCTGGTGAAACCAAGATTGAACTCTTTAGTCTGAATGCCAAGCGTCACGTCTGGAGGAAACCTGGCACCATCCCTACGGTGAAGCATGGTGGTGGCAGCATCATGCTGTGGGGATGTTTTTCAGCGACAGGAACTGGGAGACTAGTCAGGATCGAGGGAAAGCTGAACAGAGCAAAGTACAGAGAGATCCTTGATGAAAACCTGCTCCAGACTGGGGAGAAAGTACACCTTCCAACAGGACAACGACCCTAAGCACACAGCCAAGACAACACAGGAGTGGCTTCGGGACAATTCTCTGAATGTCCTTGAGTGGCCCAGCCAGAGCCCGGACTTGAACCCGATCTAACGTCTCTGGAGAGACCTGAAAATAGCTGTGCAGTGACGCTCCCCATCCAACCTGACAGAGGTTGAGAGGATCTGCAGAGAAGAATGGGAGAAACTCCCCAAATACAGGTGTGCCAAGCTTGTAGCGTCATACCCAAGAAGACTTGAGGCTGTAATGGCTGCCAAAGGTGCTTCAACAAAGTACTGAGTAATGGGTCTGAATACTTATGTAAATGTAATATTTATGTTTTTATTTTTTAATAAATTAGAAAAAAATTCTACAAACCTGTTTTTGCTTTGTCATTATGTGGTATTGTATGTAGATTGATGAGGGGGAAAACAAATTAATACATTTTAGAATAAGGCTGTAATGTAACAAAATGTGGAAATAGTTAAGCGGTCTGAATACGTTCCGAAGGCACTGTATATAGGATGAGCCATGACTATAATACAGTATATGCATATAAAGTGGGTAAAACCGCATGTAAACATTATTAAAGTGACCAATGTTTAATGACTGTATGTACAGTGGGGAGAACAAGTATTTGATACACTGCCGATTTTGCAGGTTTTCCTACTTACAAAACATGTAGAGGTCTGTAATTTTTATCATAGGTACACTTCAACTGTGAGAGACTGAATCTAAAACAAAAATCCAGAAAATCACATTGTATGATTTTTAAGTAATTAATTTGCATTTTATTGCATGACATAAGTATTTGATACATCAGAAAAGCAGAACTTAATATTTGGTACAGAAACCTTTGTTTGCAATTACAGAGATCATATGTTTCCTGTAGGTCTTGACCAGGTTTGCACACACTGCAGCAGGGATTTTGGCCCACTCCTCCATACAGACCTTCTCCAGATCCTTCAGGTTTCGGGGCTGTTGCTGGGCAATACGGACTTTCAGCTCCCTCCAAAGATTTTCTATTGGGTTCAGGTCTGGAGACTGGCTAGGCCACTCCAGGACCTTGAGATGCTTCTTACGGAGCCACTCCTTAGTTGCCCTGGCTGTGTGTTTCGGGTCGTTGTCATGCTGGAAGACCCAGCCACGACCCATCTTCAATGCTCTTACTGAGGGAAGGAGGTTGTTGGCCAAGATCTCGCGATACATGGCCCCATCCATCCTCCCCTCAATATGGTGCAGTCGTCCTGTCCCCTTTGCAGAAAAGCATCCCCAAAGAATGATGTTTCCACCTCCATGCTTCACGGTTGGGATGGTGTTCTTGGGGTTGTACTCATCCTTCTTCTTCCTCCAAACACGGCGAGTGGAGTTTAGACCAAAAAGCTATATTTTTGTCTCATCAGACCACATGACCTTCTCCCATTCCTCCTCTGGATCATCCAGATGGTCATTGGCAAACTTCAGACGGGCCTGGACATGCGCTGAATTGAGCAGGGGGACCTTGCGTGCGCTGCAGGATTTTAATCCATGACAGCGTAGTGTGTTACTAATGGTTTTCTTTGAGACTGTGGTCCCAGCTCTCTTCAGGTCATTGACCAGGTCCTGCTGTGTAGTTCTGGGCTGATCCCTCACCTTCCTCATGATCATTGATGCCCCACGAGGTGAGATCTTGCATGGAGCCCCAGACCGAGGGAGATTGACCGTCATCTTGAACTTCTTCCATTTTCTAATAATTGCGCCAACAGTTGTTGCCGTCTCACCAAGCTGCTTGCCTATTGTCCTGTAGCCCATCCCAGCCTTGTGCAGGTCTACAATTTTATCCCTGATGTTCTTACACAGCTCTCTGGTCTTGGCCATTGTGGAGAGGTTGGAGTCTGTTTGATTGAGTGTGTGGACAGGTGTCTTTTATACAGGTAACGAGTTCAAACAGGTGCAGTTAATACAGGTAATGAGTGGAGAACAGGAGGGCTTCTTAAAGAAAAACTAACAGGTCTGTGAGAGCTGGAATTCTTAATGTTTGGTAGGTGATCAAATACTTATGTCATGCAATAAAATGCAAATTAATTACTTAAAAATCATACAATGTGATTTTCTGGATTTTTGTTTTAGATTCCGTCTCTCACAGTTGAAGTGTACCTATGATAAAAATTACAGACCTCTACATGCTTTGTAAGTAGGAAAAC